TTAGAGCTATGATATGCAACAATTCTAAATATTTCACAGAAGTATAAGCATTAATCAGAGAATTTTTTTTGAAATAACATAATGAACCATAAATTAAACAAGATCGAACTCATAATTTCCAAATAATAAATATAGGGTAACCAACTCGTGACTCGACTCTCAATTTGTTTAAAAAAACAAAACTTCACGACAATCTTAAAATGAATGAATATCACCCTTAGTCAATGTCGTAACCGTCTTTCGCCCGGAGGGGGAATAGATCGATACCGACTTGGGGTTTTCTATTTGAAAAATCATTTTATAAGGTGAATGAGTCGCCACCAATCATTTAAGGTGAGATTGGAACACTGTAAAAACCTGATGATTTTAATAAAATTTTGTTTTAATAAAATATCGAGTTTTGAGGTCTACAAAAATCCAGAAATCCGGTTCGTGAGTCGATTAAGCGTGGGGAAGGATTAGCACCCCCACAAGCGCCCAAAAATTGATACCTAGTTGATTACCCTATATTTAAAATCAGAAATTTAGAGTTCGATCTTTATTTAATTTAAAAATCATTAAGGATGAAAAGTTGAAAGGGTATTCGTTTATTGAGACCGATAGCATTCGCCCCCGAGCGTAAATGCGGGAGATTAGCTATTGTGCCTAATAACCGAATATTGCCTTATTTTTAAAAAACATGATGCGGTTTTGAAAAGGATGTTGACTTATTCAGAGAATTACCAGTAGTCACCCCCTGAGCACGATCGCGAGAGATATATTATTAATTCCTTAATAAGTGAACAGTGCCTTAGATTTGTAAAAACAATGCAATCAAACAAAATTTTATTTGTCCTAATTAAACTAAAAGTAAATTAAGGCATTTTCTAACTTAAAGTTTCAAATTATGAAAAATTAAGAACCTAGGAGCTCAAATCTAAAATATAAGTTCTAGCATTAATACTTAATGTTATATATTAAAATGGATTAAATATTCACGTATTAGAAAGTTTCTTTTGATAATTTTAAAATGATCGAATATTACCCTTAGTCAATTTATTTCAGTTTGAGTCAAGTAATGCTCATGAGAATATTAAACAAATATTATGATTATCTAATTAATAAATAATATATGAAAAATTATCATGCAATAATATTTTAATACCAAACCAAATATATAATATTTTATGACTACACATTATAACATATATATATATATTATATATATAATATTAATATGCAATATACAAATGACTTAAATACAAAAAATGAAAAATAACATACCAACTAAAAAAAATTGCTATACATATTAAACTAATGGCTAAATCATATTGAACAGAAATTTACTATTTATAATAAAATTAAAAGTGCATAAAATACATAGACTAAATTAAAAGCATAAAAAAACCCGAATTGAAGTCTAAAATGTAACATGCAAAAACTTAAAGGTCTAATGTCTAAAATAACAACAATTAATATAATAACATTCAAGACTAAAATTAAATGTGCACAAAAAGAGACTAAATTAACATGCAAACATTCGATTTGATGACTAGATGAGTAAAAAAAGGAAATGAGATGATCCGTACAGAACACCTCGAAACTCAAGAATTAGTTGCATAGTTTACTCCTCCCTTCACAAAACGCAAGTTAACATATATTGAAACATTATCGTTTTGGTAATTAAACAAACCCTATTCCTCATTTACTCTCCTCTGCGCCGTTTTAACCCATCTCTCTTCCTCTCCCCAGCCTTCTTCATGGTCGAGAAGACTCGAGGCCTTCAACCTTTAATCCCGACCTTCAAACATAGCAGTATAGTGACCCAAACCGACACCCAAACTCACCACAGCCCTCGCCTTGCCATACTAACCTCCGATCTAAGGTCCAAGACACACAAACAGGACTGTAAAAGCCTCACAAAAAAGATTCCTTGGTCTTTCGGCTTCACTCTCTCGACAACCTCCATTCTCTATGCCGACGAAATCAATGGCAGTATCTCCAGTGAGTAAGGTAATATACTAAAATCTTTTTTTTTTTTTTCCTTAATCTCCTAAACAAATGGATTTCAAGATGCCCACTGACTTTATTTTCTGTTTTTTAGGAACATTAACCCGACTATTTATTCCATACTTCAACAAAAACACCACTCTCTGGTGGTAACGACACACATACCCGAAGGTAAACCCAACCTCTCACTTTTATTTTGAGTTTCAAAATGATATAAACAAGCACACGAAGAAAATACAGATTTACTATATAAACTTTGAAAGAAATAAAGAAAACCCCTTTTGCATTACTTGTTCTTATCGACAAGAATCAGAGGAAACTCCTCTGCTTACATTTTTTCTGTTTCGAAGGTGAAGCCCCCCAGTTTACAATTTGTTTCCCTCAAAAATCTCAATCTCTCCTTTGTTATTCCCCCTTCCTTTCATGGACGAGACCCCCTTATTTATTTCTTCTTTCTTCAGCTAGTTTTCTGTCCTTTTGTTGCATGTTGATAGCTTTAGGTGAGAATAGGTGAGTGATTTTTCTCTGATTTGGTGAGATTTTGATTGGAGCAGGTAAAGTGAAATCCCGAAATTTTCGGGATTAAATTGCTTTCTTTACTTTGGTGTTGATTTGGCCACTGTGGATGATTTGTGCAGATGATTTCAATGGTGGCAGCTCATAATAGGTTGGCGACGGCAGCTGGATTCGGCTGAGGTCTCGGCTCGGTCGTGGCATCGACTGGAAACTGGAAGGACTGTTGGCGGCTTGGTGTTAATTTAGAGTTCAAATTCGGGACTGGTTCAGGTCTTCGGGTATTCGAGTTGATTTTCTAGGCTCCGGGATTTGTTGTAATCTGAGTTTGTAAATTGGGCTTGCAAATGTAAAATACAATAATAATTAATAATAATAATAATAATAAAATATTAAAAGACGAGATGAAAAAATGAGTGTCGACAATTAAATTATTTTGATTCGAGTCAAGAAATATTTATGAGGGTCTTCTACAAATTAATTCAAATTAAACCCTAAATTTATATACACAATCGTATATACATTAATATAATAATTAATAGTAAACATATGCATAGATAAAAAATATGTAAAAATTAATTCTTTATACCTTAGTGAAATATAAATAAGTAAACCCCCAAAATCAAAGTAACATACTAAATATAAAAAACCTAAAGAAATAAATAACAAGAAACCCCCAAAAATTAAATAAAATAAGAAAACAAGTATTTATAGATAGCAATAATCAATCTAACAAAAATTTAAATACGAGAAAGTAAATTGAACGTCAGTACATAAAACTAAAGTGCAAAACCAAATAAAATTAAAATGCATAAATAAATAAACTAAAAAAACCAAATAAACATAAAAAAATGCGTAGAACCGAACATAAATATATAACAAAAAATGGCTGTCCCTTTTTCCCATATATATGGGTAAGGGGGAGGTAAGATAGTAGGTTACCCTCAACACTAGGTTGAGAGCAGCTTCCGTAAGAGACCTCCGAATTATGAAATGAACCCTAGAGAATTTAGGTGAAGGCCAAATGAATATTCTCTAATTTAAAAGTTCATGGACTAATTCTAATAATTCTAAAGAGATATTAAATTTACAAATTAAACTAACTCGAGTAACCTAAATTCAAAGTTAAGTTAGACCAGTAAAATTATAATTTAATATATAAGAAGAGTAAAGAACATCAAACTTAAAGGTAATATCTAACATAATAAACAATAAGTAATTAATTAAGTATACATATATAAAAGTGAAAGAAAACACAGGAAGAAAATTACATGAATGAATTGATTTCATACCAAAACAAAATGCATCAATCGCGTATACTTTAAAGGAAATTAATAAAAAAAAATTCATAATGCGGTCAAATTTGCAAAATGAGGAAATAAAAGTTTTAAAAAATTATCTTGTAAATAACTTTGAATAAACTTGAAAATAAATGAACAAATGACTAAAATTAAGATTCAAACATAAATTAAAATCTAAAAAATACATACCTAAAATATACGTATATGCATGGAATGAAGCACACAAACATTACATGTAATATACATATAAAAAAAGTGCTTAAAACATGTGACATATTGACATATTAATAGGGGTGTTCATTCGGTTAATTCGGTGGCCGAACCGACCGAAATACCATTTTCGAATTAACCGAACTTTTTTCTCTTTAACCGTTAACCGAACCGAATTTTTTTTCGAAAATATTAACCGAACCGAATAAATTTCAGTTAATTTAGTTAATTTTTGAATTAACCGAATTTTTTTAGAATTTTAGAATTTAATATTTTTTTAATTAAAAATAACAATTTACAATTAATTTAAATAATATCTAATTAATTTGATTCAAATATTTTGCATTTAGTTTTGATATTATTTTAATTAATTAATATTGATTTGGGTTTTAAATGGGTTTTAAATAGATTGTGCCTCTTAATATAATTATATTTAAAGGTTAATTCGGTTAATTAACCGATTTCGAACCGAATTAACCGTTAACCGAATTCCAAAAAAATCCTTAACCGTTCCCCGACCGAATTAATTCGGTGGCCGACCGAATTAACCGAACTAATTCGGTTCGATCGGTTAAAACCGAATTTTGAACACCCCTACATATTAAGTAATATATATATATATATATATATATATATATATATATGCTTAATTGTTCAAAATAGAATCACCAAGCATAAACATGAATAACTAAGCATAAAGGGCCAAAAGACAAAGAACATAAAATAACAGGGACTAAATATAAAACTAATCCATAAAATTAACATGGAGACTGAAATATCACACGCATGAAACTTAAAACCCAAATTAAAATAAATAAAGGTCTCTATTGATGACTATTGAAATTTATTAAAGTAAGAAGTACCCCTTACAAAAATAACCCACAGAGCCTAAGACTGGTTGCCTTAGTTTCCTAAAACGACGCCGTTTTGGGAATCATATAAATATCCCATTACAATTTTCAGCTAACCGTAGCCCCATTTCATTTACTTGGCCGCATCCCTTTCTTCTCAAACACACTCTCCTTTCAAAATTCTCAAAAGAGAGATAGAGAGAAACACTTCTCCGGCCACCCTCCTAAACGACCCCGACGAGGGGCCGATGGCCCCTTTTACCTTGTTTATCCAAACCCCCATCCTAAATCTCCCCAAACCAAACCCAAAAGTATAAAAAAAAACTACCTTTGTTGCTTGACAGAGCCCTACATTGCCGGTGAAATGAAGACCAAGGTAAACTCTCTCCCTTGCACTCTTTTTTTTCGAACTCGAACTCCTTTTTGATTTTCTTCTTCTTCTTTTTTTACAAAAAACGAATTCTTTTTTTCTCTCTATTTTGTCGTCCTTTTTTATGAAATCAAAAAACCTTTTTTTCCTTCTTTTATTTTCTTCCCTAAAACCCGTATACCCTGTCTTCTTCTTCTTCTTCTTCTTCTTTTTGAATCTAAAAGCCCACTTTGTTTTTTTAGTTGCTGCCTCCCCTTCAGATCTGATTTTTCTCTCCTCTTTATCTCATGTTTGCATGCTAGGGGAGATTTTTGCAGAGGCCATCTCACTGGTTCGGCCGAATCATGGGTGAGGGTTGTCAGGTGAGAAATCATTTCCTTTTTTTTGTTGTTTTGTTATTTATCTTTGTTTCTCTGTCCTTGCTGTTGATTTAGTGAATCTCGACAGAGAGATGATAACATTGGTAGTTGAAACGGTGGTTGTCATGTGGTCGGAGCGACGATAAAAGAGACGACGACGGCGGTCATTTGGGTCTGGGTATATTGGGTCGGTTGGGTTTGTAAAGCCTGAAAGAAATAAAAAATTATAATTAATAATAATAATAATAATAATAATTCGCCGGGATAAAAACGGGTGTCGACATCTTCTCTTAAAATAAAATTATGCATATGTACATGACAATAAAATAAATTAAAAATCATTTTTAAGGATTAAACACAACAATAATAGTTTTAAATATAAATTATTTATCATTTTACGTTCAATAATGTTTTAAAAATATATTTTTCATATAAAATATTTTCTTTCACTTACAATATGGATGTGATAAAATATGGTATAATCATTAAAAATTAAATATAATTATTTATATTTTTTATTAGGTGAAATCTTTTGATTAATTAACAACATATAAATTTATATATTAATAGTGTATCAAATATAAACTTGAAAAAAATATTAACTATTTTAAAGGTACAAATTGTAATACCTACAGTGTGTGTAACCCCTCCAACCCTTACATTGAATCTAATCGTACTTAAATATACTTAAACTCATAATGTCTTATATGTTACAACAACAATAATAATCGAACTAATACTCCGTAAACATAAAATAAGATTTACTCTATTAATGTGTAAATATTTATATTTAATACAATAAGTAACAATATGTAATTTTCTATACAATTAGCACAGAGAAAGCCAATAATTTTGGTGGGGTGAGATATAAACACTAAATTTTGGAGGGGTTAAAAAATATAATTTCCAATTAATCATTTACTAGAAAAGCTTATATTCAATTAACAGTATGTATCTAACATATTAACCCATTTACTAATATTCGATAATCAATATTAAAGAAGTTTATATACGAGTCAAAAAAGTGAGTCAATTATATAGCCGTGTTAAAGTCAAATGAATTTATGGTAAATATAATGATTACTTAAAAAGTAAGTGTAGAAATTATATTTTTTATTCACTTTAATTGTTTAAAGTTTTTTTTATTAACGTGCTTAATGTTTTCTCTGTTTTTCTTTAAGATGTATGATCATCATCTGTTATTATTTAAGATGTATGATCATCAGGGGCGGAATTAGGAATTTTAAATTGCGGTATCATAATTTTAAGTTACGGTATCTAAATAAAATTATATAAGTTAATGCATAACACTAAGACTCAATAAATTTAATGTAAAATATAACTAAACTAACATAAGACTATTACAAAGCTATTAAAACAGTAATTAAAAGAAATGGTAGTTATGTCGTACGACGACCTAATTTAAGTCTAAGGAAAGGCGCAACCGACAATGTTAAAAAAAATCTTAATTTTTTGTTGAGCCCAACCTAAAATGTTAATTTTTTAACATTTTCGGTTGAGCCGAAAATGTTACGAAGAAGATAACATTTCCGGTTGCCAACCGAAAATGTTCAAAAAATCTTGACATTTTTTCTTGAGCCCAACCTGAAATGTTAATTTTTAACATTTACAGTTGAATCGAAAATATTATGAAGAATGTAACATTTCCGGTTGCCAACCAAAAATATTAAAAAATAACATTTTAGGTTGCGGTTAACCAAAATGTTAAGTTTTTTTTTTTTTTTTTTTTTTTTTTTTACATTTTCGGTTGCACATTTCCTTAGTCTTAAATTAAGCTATCGTCCCTTAGACATTCCCCTAAAAGAAAAAAAATCAAATAAAATTCAACAATTGATCATACCTTTTTCTTACAATTTTCCACGATGCTTCTCATGTTTTGAAATCGTTAAATTATTTTTCCCTTGTCGATACTATTAGAAATCTTTCTTAACATATGTAACCAAACAATCATTCATCCATTGATCTCCAATTCGATTTCACAAGCGATTTTTACAATCTTCATTGCAAAAAATGTTCTTTCCACACTTGTCGTAGCAACAAGCAAAATCAATGCAAACTTCACCAAAAAATATACCAAAGGATAAACAATATTTTTTTGTATCAACCATTTTCATAGCAAAGTCTTGAATGTCTTTTAGATTTGAGAACTCTTTGTTTGAACACATGTCAATGATGTATGGCTCCAATTGGTTATCAAGAGTAAGAACTTCAATGGTAGAAAAATTAGAGGAATAAATTTAACCAATATGAATCAACTTCTTTTTGTTAAAAGATGCAAAACCATCATTTGGGTATATGCAAGATAAACATACCAACGACTCTGTATTTGCTTCACTAAAATGATTGTTAAGCTCTTCAAGTTGCATGTCTATAACGGTATAAAATTACTCCATGCGATAGTGGTATATATTTGTTACTTTGTGAGCTTTTCTCTGCGATCTCCCTTTGATAATAAATTCATCATCCATATTAGAGACATCAATCTCATGTTTTTGACAAAATGATGATACCTCAAAAAGCAATGAAGCCCATCCATCTTCTCGAACCTTGTATAATTGTTCTTTTGGAATCCTTACAAATGACATGAAATTAATAATATCTTGATATTTTCTTTCAAGTGCTTTTGACAATTCATTTATGATTTCCAACACCTGTCTCGTTAAATGCAAGGAAAAATAAATTCAAATGATTGTATCAAATCTAACAAAGTATTATCTTCTGTTTTTTGTTCTGATCGTAATCCATCATCTATAATAATTTCAAGAATATCAACTATTGAATTGAACATGCTGATTATACTTAGAAGCATACCATAATGTGATCCCCAATAAGTACATCCTAGTTGAACAAAAGTTCTTTCTTGATTTAATCCTCATCGAGAACAAATTTCAGAATTGAGCAAAACTTTTTGAAATTCAAAAAACTGTAATTCGTGAAGCATATCATGTCGTTTGTAAGAGCGCACAACAACATTTATTAAGGAAGCTATCGAGCTGAAAAGAGATGCTATCTGAATTTGATGTTTCGCTACTGCAACCAATGCTAATTGTGAGAAGTAATGAAAGTAAAAAACTGATTGATTTTCTCTTAAAATCATACTTTTCAAACCATTTAACTCCCCTTTCATGTTACTAGCACCATCATATCCTTGCCCTCGAATTCTTGATGCGCTTAATCCAAATTTAGCCAGTAATGCATCAATTTCTACTTTAAGCGATAAAGTAGTAGTATCTCCGACATGGACAATTCCCAAAAATCTTTCTAAAACACATCCCATTTCATTCACATATTATAGAATAATCCCAATTTTTTATTTATTTGATACATCACGTGAATCATCTACCAATAAATAAAATAACTCATCTTGAAGATTTTCAACTATGGCATTTGTTGTTTCAATTGCAGCGGCATGTGCAATATCTTTTTGAATATCTAGAGAAGTTAAGCAATGGCTTTGTGGAGCATTTTTAGAATAACTTTGTTTATCACTTCATTATGATCACCAATAAACTTAAGAAGTTCAAGAAAGTTAACTTGATTGATTGAATTGCTAGACTCATCATGTCTTCATAATGCTAGACCTTGTCTTAAAGGAAATCGAGCACAATCAACATAATCATTAAATCTCATTCGATAACAACTACGAGCTTCATTTGATTGCCTTAACAAAGTCGTATCAATGTGTTGTCTTTGATTCAACTACGAGCTTCATTTGATTGCCTTAACAAAGTCGTATCAATGTGTTGTCTTTGATTCATTAAGTCGTCACAATTTCTCATGGCTATATTATGAGAACTATTTACGCCTCCAACATGAAAATCCAATCTATATTTTTTTGTTCCAATTGTTGAATCCACCAATTTCAAATGCACAACCATCTCGCTTGTTTAGGTTAGTAAAAAGATAACAACATAAGCAAAATACATCTTTTTCAATACTATACTCTAGCTAATTTCCATAGTCTTGAACCAAGAAGTTGGAAATCTTCGTTTCACTCCTGCAACGATTCTTTTTGAGAAGTTGTGACTGCGAAGTTGAAAAGGTCCTTTTTTGCAAATATGCTATTCTTAGATTGTCCCTATCATTTGGATGATAATCTGCAATCTTAATCTTCAACATTGAATCCGTTGGAAGATTTTCTAGATTAAACACAACATGATTTTCTTCACATTTTTCCGAATTGGTTTGTATCTCACTTTGGGCATTCACTATTTTTTCTTGTTGTTATTCTTTTACATCAGAAGTTAATTTCCTTTTAAAATATTTCTCCATTCATGTTAAACAATTATAAAATAAATTTACATTACCCATATACTTTCTTGCAAGTTGTAATAAACAAAATTTCAATTTACATTATTCATAAAAGTATAGAATGAAACAAACATTAAAAATAGTGGATATGCATTGTCGTAATAAATAAAAATTACATAGTGTTAATGCAACTCTTCAAATGAAAACAATGAACTTATTAACCTATCATAGACAATAACAACAATTATCTCAAAATTTAAAATCAACCTAATATCTTTAATAATTCCAAACATTAAAAACATAAAATCATTATCAATATCAATTAATAATTTTAAAACTATTGAAACATTGAAAGCTCAAAGAAAACAAAAAATAAATTTAATTAGTTTTACTTTGATGCTAGAATATGATTTGATTCGTCTTTCTCCTTGAAAATTGTTAAAATATTACAAATCTAAATATATTATTATGCTATCAAAGGATGAAGATTGTGGGTTAGGGTTCTTAGAGAGAGAGAAAATGTGGAAGAAAGGGGTGAGTTTCATGGGACTGAAAACTTGAGAATGGAGTTTTAATTTTTTTTTATTATTACATGTTATATAAAATGAAAAGGTTGGGTCAAAGTGAGGTAGAGGAGGGGTAGACTTCAATTTTTAAAAGTAATTTTTTTGTTGTTGAGAAAATGACGGTTAACTTTTGTGTGTAGGACCTATTTTTCTAATCTTTAATTTTTTGATTAATATTTTTAAAAATGTGAGACCCACTTTTTAAAGGGTGTCATTTTTTCTTTATATTATATAAATTAAATTTATATAGATTTTTTTTAGAAAATTTTAGGGTGTCAAGTCGATAGGTACTCGCTCTGCTCGTGACTGACCATTAACAACCATTAAAAAATCCGTTCATCATTGTTGACACATGAAGCAATTTTA